TGGCGGGCGCCAGGGTGCCACGCCCACTATTGCAACGTTCTGCCCGCCTCGAATTCGGGGGCGTGGTTTGCGGGTGACGAAGCAGAAACTCTGGAAAACACCAGAATGAGACGCGGCCATGTGCTTGCTTGTTGCCCGGGGCAACCGGGGAAGCCGCTAGGCCGCTGATGGTTTAAAAGTGACAGTTGGGAAAAAACCGAATGGAATATCACAGAAGTGAAGTAAAGCCTTCCTAATAAATCATCATAAACGGGAGTGTGTGTGACAACGTATAGCAAAGCCCACAGGCCAAAGGTGCAATCAGCACAGGGGGGTCACTGGTATATAAAAGCATTGCTGAAAGAAAGGCGCAGGGCTGTAGTTACCATGGGGCGAGTGAGGCACTCGCCTCAGGCGCAGCTGAGAGGGGGCGCAGCCAGGGCCGGCCTGCCTGCGCCCCTGTTGCCATAGCGAGCACAGGGCGCCATTGCCAACAGGGGTGCCAGCCGGCCAACACAGCCGTGTCTCGGCAGGGAGAAGAGGAGAGGAACATGCTCCAGCTTCTCCTTAGATCCCTGCTGCTCTCCCCCACCTGCATGGGGCAGAGGACTCTGTGTCCTCAATCTCTTTTTCTATTTTAAAAGGGAAATGTCGGGGGTCTGTTTAGACCCCCGATATTTCCCGGAAGCCCCCCAACAGTGAAAAAATAAAAATCAAACACACACATTACTGGACATGTGCGAAGACTAAAAATTTGTTTCAGACAAAATGAACGGAAACTAAAAATGTTTTCATTCATTTCGTCAAACGAAAACAAATTTTTATGCTATTTTGGATTTGGCCACCAACGCGTTCTGCGTATGCGCGCCGCCATCCTAGAGGTGGGCGTATGACATCACATACCGCACACGTCTGTCGGGGGGCACAATTTGCCTCAAGGGCTAAAGGAGCTTGCTACGGCTCTGGAAAGGCGAACATGCGCACCCGCCCATTTGTTGAAACGCCACCACAGCCGCCGAAAACCGTTCACATATGCGTGGCGTGTAAACGTGCGTTGCGTTACAGCAGCGCATTCATTTGGTATTGGCCTTTCTGTGCTTTTTCCAGTGACAGGTGTTTTGCTTATTGCGACAAAACGCTAAGGGCCATAGAACCGAAAGGGATTTTTTTGGGGGGAGCAGATATTTGGAACGTTTTTTTAGGGCAGAAAAAGCTCTACAAAAAGGTCAGTGTACCTTATGGCCCATAAGGGGAAGGGGGAGTCCGCGCAATCTGAGTGTATCTCACATTTTACAGCAAGGTGTGATTTAATAAAATAAATGAAAAGCAAGCATGTAAAAAAAATGTGAAAGTCCCATCAACAAAATATTTTGAAGTATCTCTAAAAAAACAAAAACTTTTCTTTGTATTTAGATACATTGTTTTGAGGGAAACATGATAACTCAAACTATGTGCTGACCGCAGCACAGCGTACTTTCCCTTTAACCCAGTGGTTCTCAACCTTTCTAGGGCCGGGACCCCTTGGTAACATTTGCCAAGTTGTGGTGACCCCCAACGGTAAAATTTAGGAATGACGTGGCTGCTGCAGAGACATCTGGCGGGAGAACTGACACTGCTGCGCTAGGAGAGGGCTGAGGAGGACTCTCACCTAGCACAGCAGAAATCATCAGCGACCCACAGGTTGAGAACTACTGGTGTACGCCGTCAGAATAAAAAAACAAAAAAAAACACCCTAGGAATGCATAGCTAGATTCCTATTGGCTATTTCACTTTGCAATAGCCAATAGCAAACTAGCTATTGCACCCGCCCTCTGCTGCTGTCAATCAGTAGTACACGCCTTACAAGCTGTCAGTTGAGGCTTCATCAGCATTCCTTTGTACATCCTGTCATTTAAAGCAAAGGTGAAAATGAAACCAGTATGTCCTGAGCTTGTGATGGTTGAGGTGCGGCTTTCCATTCACAGGAAAATCATTCTGGTAAGATCTAGAAAAATCCATGAGGACAAACTACTGCAGTG